CTCCTCAAGAACCCATAACTTCTGGTTATAAAGATTTTCCACCATTTTGAATTTTTTGAAAAACACTTAAAATCGATCTCTTCCTAAGAAGTTTGACCGATCTGCATGAAACTCGGTGAACATAATCTAGGGACCAATATCTAAAGTTCCCTCTTAGCAAAAGTTGGAAAACTTACTAAAACTGAGCTTCTATAAGGCAATGAATATTGCAAAGGGCGTGGCTCATCACATAAAGGTGTATAATATCTCAAGGGTTTCACCATTCACCACGCAACTTTGTAGGCATATGACCACACATAATCTGAGGGGACTCCTCCATTATTGACCTTATCAAACAAAATGGGGGTTCTAGAGAGCTAATTTCTTTTCTAGGCCTAACCGCCATATCGATTTTTACTAAACTTGGTGGATATGTAGAACAGGATGCCTCAAGGTGACTGGAGAAATTTAACTCTAATTGGCAACTGGGTGGCGCTATAACAACAGAAAAATGCTTAAAAATGGCTAAAATGTGACCGATCGCTGTGGCTCCCCCTGTGGCCGATTGTTTTGGTTTTTTCTAATTTTTGGTACGACTAAGTCATGGTATGGTATGCTGTACATAATCACGGAAACTGTCAGTGTGTCATTCCGTCAGTCAGTCATTCTGTCTGTCCCACGTTTTTCTACTCACTGACATGGTCAATCTATGTGACACTGCACATAGGCATTGAGGATTGGCATAGGTAGAAGGTGACAAAGCTACCAGTGGGTATTGACTAGTTTGTAAATTCATTTCAATTTTATCATACTTAGATTTATCCATAGTGTAACTTGCTGCAGTTAAATAAATACATCTGTCAACTCCATCCATCAAAAGCCAACGGGTAGGTTAAAACCTCTGATTGGCTATACCATTCCAGGTACAGGTTTTATTAATAATTACATACCACATACCAAGATGGCACCTATTCATTCCAATGGAGTTGCTCACCTTGCACATACGCCAAAAAAAATTCTAGCTTCTGAGCTTACTTAAGCGGTATGCTGCCCACTGATAATGTACTGTAGTGTTTCACTCACTGGCCCCGCCCATGAGTTCCCACTCGGCTCATCGACTTAGACATTATGATGACGTTACAGATTTTTAAATCGCCTTTCTCTGCTCAAGGATTGTCTCACAAATATAAAACCACCATGGCTCAAAAATTCAAATAGTAAAAAATATTTATATTTGACTGCAGTTCATGGTGTCCTGTCAAAAGTTTTACAGTCTATGGGGAAAGTGCTTTCTGGGCCTTTGGGGAATTTTTTGCTGCAATACATCAAGAGGCCACTGGTGTAAAATTTGCTGCAAGGGTGAATGGCTTTCCTGGGGGCCTGGTTCCAGGCATCTGGCAGCATTAAACTCTAACATTAGCTATGAAGTAGACAGGCTCAGGAGGAGTGTGAGCTAATGTTAGCACCTACAATGAATTGCTAGGTAAGATTAGCCAGCCGACCAGTCACTTTCATACTGTGTTCCCATTATGAGTGACAACTCAACAGGATGACCAGCTACATTATCGTCATGTCGCTGTTGAAGTGTTGACGCAAGCTTAACTTTGATTTATAGTGTTTTACGCCCGTCCGTACTGACAAGAGTCAAGCATCAGTTTGTAGCCTCCTGTCACTGGCATCTACTGAATCTATACATCTATTTTGACATTCATATTAATAAGTCAAATTTGTTCGTCTCAACGGGTAAAAGTATATTGTCTTCACGCGTCAAATGTGCATTAAGATGATAGAAAATGCCCTGTTATTAAGTACATTTCTGATTTCTCAAGACCTTTAGAATTGGGTGCAACCATTTCACCAGTTTCTATCAATGGATAAAATTGTATTTGGTATACATTGTATTTGCATAAGTGTCCATGGCAGAATTAAATTAGAGCACATTTGGCACAGTGTTTGGTCATCTATTCTGAGTGTGTTGCCAATTCACCTTAATTCTTTCATATCATATAAAATAAATGCCTTACGTTATTTGTTCTACTATGACTTAATATTACTGATTATTGGGTTCTGCTGCTGAATTTGGCATCATGTTTCAGTTGATGGTGTTTGCCTCATGTGTTACTGTCTGTTCATGAGTGGTAAGAATCTTTTAGGAGCAGACGTTTACCGTAAGCTTGCTTGGGCTCTGTTAAATTAAACAATATGCTAATGGAGCAAGGCAACCTAATCGCTAACATGCTTAGTTAAAAAGGAAAACAACAACGCTTTGAGATGGCTGTCAGAAATGACAGAGGTATGATCACGTTATACCGCCTGAGACGTAACAGGTGGTGTGTTCCACATGTTTTATTTCCTAATCACTCTAGAAAAGAGGATAAGAGTACCGTTAGCGTACTTTTCCGTACTGTTACAATAGGAAAACAGTAAAAAAAAAAAAAAGTGAGCTGCTGGCTGCCGAGTCGCTCTCCTCCTGGGCCTGTCTACTTAGTAATGACGATAGTTAGCATCATAGTTAAGCTAACGTTAGCGATAAACAAACACCTGGAATGCCTGCAGGGATATAGCCAATCAGATGTTTTAACCCGCTCCCTGTCTTTTGATGGATGAATTTGGCAGATGTTAGTGCTGCAGCAAGTTAAACTTTGGAAAAATGAACATTTATATAAATACAAATATAAATAAAATTAGAAATAGATAATAAACAAATGTATGAATAAATAAATAAGTTAATAGATTATTAGTATAGAAATGAATAAATAAAGAAACAAATAAATATATAAATACACAAATAAATTGAACATTTATATATTTAATGTCTCAATTAATTAGTAATTTATTTATGGTTACAATCAAGTATTGCATTGCGTAATTATTTATTTCTTCATTTATTTAAGCATTTTATTATATAATTATATATTTATTCATTTATTTAAGTGTTTGTATTATATTATTTAATTATTTATTTAAGCATTTCTAATTATTTCTGTATTTATATATTTAGCTACAGCCCTTAAAACCCTCCCTAGAAACACAAGGTAAAAGCAATGGATAAATGTTTAACATATTTAGCTAAAAGTAATGTTAATGGAGAAATGGTTGAAATAGCTGGTTTAATGGATGGATACATGATTGAAATGCCAAGGTAAAGTAACTCCCAAGTGGTAGTAGGATAAAGGCAAACCTGAACAGATATAAAGATTGATAGGTCACTTGTATGAAAAAAACTACAGTATCCACTCATCTAACAACGTTTAAACAACACACTGTTTAAAATCAATCAGTGAACACGGCTGATAATGCTGATAACGATTTACTTGAGTTCATCTGCTAGAGCTGTGGGGGAACTTGAGAAACTTCCTTGAGAGAACTTGAGAGAATTTCTATCTTAAAAATACTGGTGCAGTTACAGGGTTTTATCAGGCATTTTCATCTGAGCCTGTAAGGTCTCATGTGCTGACCTTAATATTACCCGTAGTCCCATGCTGAATTTGTCTGAGGCACCACCCAATATGACTCAAAGGCTCATGTCATTTCTTCTTTTACCTCTCCACCACACTGAAATGCATGCACAAATTCAACTGCGTTGTTGTTTAACCCGTGTGATCACTTGCGATGTTTTCTCAAATAAAAGTCACAAAGTGTGGGAAAAATATTTTCTAATATTGGAGGGAGTTAAATGGCGCTCTGTTGACTTTGGCTGGCCCTGCATTAGAGCTTGTAGAGACAAAGCCTGTGTCTCTGCGCAGACTGAAACGGGTGTAGCAAGCCTTGTGAGAGGAAGACTGAAACACCATACAGCAGGCCTACATTATGGCTGTAAGAGGAACAGCACCAAGGCTATGACTATGATGTTTCACTCTTAAAAAAGAAATCTTTCATGTGACACTAGCTATTACAAAATTATGCAGGGAAAAGAGCGTGGTCTTTATACTGGCAGTGACTTTACTATTATAATTGCCATAATATCCGCATATGAAATGGCAGAATAAAGCTTTCAAAATCTTCCATATAGATATTATAAAATCCAAAACAGAAATAAAGTTATTAAACATAAAACATGCAGCTATGAGTGCAGTTCAGTGAGACTTGGTTTAGGGTGGGCATTGTTAAAACAATAACCTTTAGAGAATCCTGTCTTGTAAATACAAGCTTTGTAAGTAAAGGACTCACTCCTTAGTCATTATGCTAATGATAACTTTGTGTGCTTTTGTGTGCAGTAATTTAAATGCTGTAATAACATGTTTATGCCAATGCCCATCATATGATACCCACATTTGTGGCGTGTTGCTCTTTGTAGGCTGCTTCATTCTTACTCTAAATGTGAGAAAAAACAAGTGAAAATAGTTTTTTTTTGTTCATTCTGTTTAATAAATAGATTATAGAGTGACGAGAATTTAAGAAAAGATACAGTTGGTTTTGACTGCTGTGCTGATCATAGTGTTAGCATTTATGCAAGGCAGGTAAATGCCTCCTTTTGGCCTACAGTGCGGTGTGTCACATGCCTTGAATTAGCTTAATAAAACAGTCAAAATGTGTCTTTCAGGTTTTTTTTATTATTATTAGCAGCAGCAAAGATAAAGCACAAAATATCCAGTCATACTTTGCTTGAATAATAAATAATATGGACTTAAAAGTGTCTTCTCAGTCACTGCTAGACGCTGACTTTGATATTTTAAGTGCCTTTGATAAAAGCAGATTTAAAAGTGCTGAATGCTGGTAACAGTTTGGTGATACACGTAGGTACTTATGGGCATTTAATGTTACTATGTTGTAGTTCATTAACATTTATTTCCTTTCTTCAAGCAGAGGTTTCTTTTCCTGTTGCATGTCATTTGAGCCCTCTGTGTGAAGTAGTGGGTGGTCCCACGGCTGCTGAGAGCCACTCCCTCGCACCGGTCCCCTCCCCTGTATTCCCCTCCTTCTTCAAACCAGGAGCCCTGCCCTAGCTCCCTATCCAACCACTCTGCTCAGCCCAGAGGAGCAGCCACACAGAAAAAAAGTTTAAATCAACTCAGCGCCGAAGAGGGAGGAGGGAGAGAGGAGAAGAAGGGGGGGGGAGAAAACGCCCTGGAAACTTGGTTGATCAAGAAATAGGAAAAGAGTGACAGAATCCTAACAGACTGCAAAGTTGTGACTGGAAGAAGTGCTTTCCTTGGGCTGGGTAGAAGGGGACACGACACGTTTCCAAGGATGCTCAAGCTGGTGTGAGGCTTCTCGGGCGCAAAGACTGCGCACAGGTAAAGATGCACTTTTTAGTCAGCTGTGCTTTGTTTCAAACTTACTTGTGCTGGAAAATAGTAACCGGCTTGTAACAACTTGGTCAAAGTTTAAATAACTAAGTTGCAAAATCCAGCATTCCTGAAATATCCCAACGGGCGATTGTGAGTGTGTGTATCAGTGGAAAGATTACAGTGACTTTGTCCTACTTTATTATGTGCGGTTATCTCCTGTGGTATCCTATGGTTTGTCCTCAACGGAGGTTTTGCTATAGGGAAGTTTTCTAGGAAGAGAAAAATGTGGATTAGTTGCTATGTTTTTCTGTCAAGGTGCAAAGTGGCATTATTTTTGTGTGAATATCATCATGCTGTAAGTTTTAAATGCTGATTTATAAGAGCAAAAGACATGAGAAGTGGGTGTGTACCCACAGCCACCACATGAATGCAGAGGGCTTGACTGGAGTTGCGCACTTAACTTTTCTTTTAACTTCACACAATTGTTGCTCTCCAAGGTGCATCGGAGTTGTGAGCCTGCTGTTATAGAAAGAGTTTAGGGTATTCTCATATGATTCTAAGAAATAAGAGACACGCAAAATCACTCCGTAGTGATTTGACTATTGTGCAACGTGGATGTCCTTTGCATACACATAATCTCTAGTCTTTGGGATTGTAAGCTTTTTTTAACATCACTGGAAAGTCCCACGCAGTGAATTAAAGTTGCATGGAAGAAGTTGCAGAGAAATAAGAGTCCCAGCATACGCCCTTTGCTGACACTGGGAGGTTTAAAAAGTAAAGGCAATTTCTCTACGAGAGCTTGCAGCAACAAGCTTGGGTGTGGATTCCTCTCTTTCACCTCTCTCCACCCCCTCCTTTTTTTCCCCTCCCTCCCTTCTTGCTTTGCTGTCTCCACACAGAGGCACACCCTTTACAGCCCAAAAAAAAAAAAAAAGGAAAAAACCTATACATGCTGCAGACGGCTGTCGCAGTTGGTTCCTCTAAACACATTCAAAGCTCCTTCCTGAGGTATCCAGGGGGTTTCAGCAAAAGTTTAAGCACTGATCATAACTTTTTCTCTGCCTGTCCGCTGTGCCGTAGAATTATTAGTCATATGGAACAATGAAAACCTCATGTGGGCCTTCTTTTAATGCAGTCTGCTATCGTGGAATGCGACAAACTTGTATTCTTGCTATGATATAAATCAGTTTCTTGAACGAGTCGTACCTCTTTTGCAGCTGGTGTTACGTAAGAGAAGGTTGGAAACTATCACTGCTGCTTTGTACTGAGGCGTGTTTGTTTTTTATGACTTACTTTTTCAAAAATCTTGGGCTGAGGGAGATTTCTCTTTTTATTTTACCAGGGGTTGCTTAACCTGGGCGCCTGGCCAGGGTGTGCAGGGGAGGAAAGAAGTGGGGGAGAGAGGAGAAGAAGGAGGGAGGAAGACTGGGAAAGAGAGTCAGGGAGTGAGTTGGTGAGGGGGGATGGGCGGGGCGGGGGCGAGGAGGGGAGTAATGGAATGTAGTGGTTTGGAAAGACAAGCTAATTGAAACCAGGTTTGAGGCATACAGAGGGGAGCTTAGACTTTGCACTTTTGGAGTAAAAGAGAAACGCACTTTATCTGCCTAAAAAGTTGAGAGTTAGATCTTTCAGCCTGGCTCGTGTGCGCATTTAAAGCACACGCGGCATCTTTTCAGGTGTGGATCAAACTAGAATCATCATATACAGTCTGGCCTGCATCTGATAGGATGTAGTTGTTCAAACTGATGATAAAAAGTTGAGGAAAAAGCAGAGCAGGCGTAATCCTTTGTTGAATGTGAATTAAAAGTCAAATTTCTCAGCGTGGAGTTGTCTGTCCTCCACTGCTCCCTGTTGCCACACCCAAAAATCATTTCAGTGTTAGGGAGAGCTGCTCTATGCTCGGCTCTGCAAACAGTCTTTTCTACAATGCGCACTTAACTCATGTTGAGCGACCCACAGCTGTAAATGTCTGGCGTTTCTCAAATTGCTCTTGTCAAGGTGATTGATTGTGACGCAGTCTGCTTTAAGAGCCAAATGGTAACAAGGGGCTGAAAGGGCTTTGGCCAGTAGGTTGTAATTTAAGCAATAACATGTTTCTTGTTCATTTAAAAAATTTGTGTCGTATGTGATCATAAGGCTCAAAGTACTGTATTACATATGTAACTGCAGATGGTGAGTTTTGCTGCAAGCAAGGGTATGGACTTATACAAACATAATAAATATGAAACAGATATTTCCAGCACTGAAACTTTCAGAACCGGTTCCTGACTGCCTGCAGCTAAAACGCTTGTCGGTTAACAGGGCCTCATCTCGGCTTGGGGCAGATACTGTTTGTCTAAATACTTGAGCTGTCTACCAATGCAGCAGTACAGAGGCCACATTATGTTGTCACCTGGGGTAGTGTGAGACATCTGGAATTCCAAAAACCACACTGTAAAATTTTGAAGACATTTAATTGCCCAGTCATCATAGCCGCCATTGGCGGTGTGCACTGCCAGTCACGCTGATTTTGTTGCACTTGCCACCCATGTGACAAACAGCATCTTCCTACTAGCCTTAAGAAAAGGACATGCCTCATGACTGTTTGGAGTCTTAGCTGGATCATGTCAAGATATTTTTCACGGAAGCCCTATATATTCTTGTCCTGTTGAGTGCCAGTCAAGGCAAGAGGAGCGGTATTACTCAGCCGTGCCAGTGTGAAACGGAAAGAAACTGGTCTCTAGCACACTTCCTCTGTCATTTCCTCATGGGTTTGTTGAGTGGGTGGCTGGAAGGAGGGACAGCAAGGAGAGGCAAAAAAAAAAAGGAGGTGGATATAGTGAATAAGCTAAAAGAAGGGAGGGTGATTGAAATCAAACCATAGTTTATTTTTTTCACACTTGGCATTATTTAGAAGCAGGGCTCAACTTTCGGACATCCTGCTGCTCCAGCAGACTCTCTGAAGTCCCACCCTAGGGATTGGTTAAATAAAACAATAGCAAATTTGTAGATAGGCAACCGTTCCAGGAGGGGAAGTTTAGTTTTCATCCAGCTGCAAATAAACATCTAACTGTAGTGTGCGATTTTAGAAAGTCTTTCTAGGCAGTCCATCCAGCCAGCCACTCCCTTCTCATCCATCCAGTACTGGTTTGGAATGTTTCATCATGTCCTCCTCAGTATGCTCTGCGGAGCACCTATCATTAGCATGGTTTGCCTTGTTGTTGAGAAATAGTGATTTAAGAAGTATGATGAGATAGTCATCACAAGTCACACATAATACCTCTGCAAGTCACACCCATGCACATGCATGCAATTCAGACTTGTTTACTGTAGCTCTAAGTTTGGTGGGGCTTCTGCAGGCATGGGATTTAAAAAGGGTGTGAATCATTTTTCTGATAAGCTGACAACCATTCCCATTGCTTTGCTAGACATCTGCTGTATGAATCCATCCAAAAATAATAAATCGTAAATGACTGTTGACTTACTGCGTAGTCTACCTGCCCTCCCACTGATTATCTAACTTGCAACCCAACCCCCACAAGCGCCGTTATGTTGCCATGCGCAAGGAATGACAGGCGGCATCTGTTACAAAACCTCTGTTTGGAATGAGGCAGCCAAAATGTCAGGGCAACAGGGCTTGGAATGTAAATTTAGAAATACATTCAGCTTTGTTTGGGTTTTCTTTATCTGCCACAAGATACTCACGAATGGCACTCATCACAACCCAACACTTGCTCTAAAACCTGCACTTCTCTGGTGTGGTCTAAATGCTAAGTATGAACACATATCCTAAAACTTTGCGCTTATGCTTCGAGGTCTACAGCTAAGAAAGTCTTATGTCTATATATACATTCTGCTGCTATGGTTGCCATCTTGCCCTCCTCTTAACCTTCTTGTCTCCTGCTCCATGAATGGACTTGCATTTGTTCTTGTTCAAACAGCAGCTGTGAAAGACAAACTAAATTGAGTTGAAGTTGTGCAGTTATATGGCACAGCCTATATAAGGTTGCTATGGGTGTCTGTACACCTCATGTGAGTTCTTATTTATGTAGCAGAACTGTGTAAACTTCACTCCTCTCTTTCTCTCTCTCTGGAATAACTAGTTATGCTACTTTAAAATTTGCATACTCAATTATTCCGTAGCTCTGTCCTTCATCATCTTTTGTTTTTTTATTTGTTAGTTGCTCAATGCTCTTGGCTCTCAAATTGCCCATAGGCACCAGTCCAGAATCACTTCTCATTTCAGAACTTCAGCTACAGCCAAAATGTTTTGTTTTATTTTTGCAAAAAGGTTACTGCTGTTTTCTGTTGTATAGCCCATGACACTATAGTTCAACCCAAGTTCTTGAGAAGACAAGGAAAAACTCCCCTAAAAACCTTAGCGCATGAGGAAAAAATGGGAGAAACCCCGGGAGAGGAAACTCAAAGTGAGATCCTCCCTCCTTTGGATGCCTTGGGGTGTAATAGAGAACAATGAGTAATGATAGGAGCCATGATTTATCTGATACTTGTCGCCTCATATGTATAGTATGTTTCCTTGACCTTCCTTTTGTGGACACAAGGCTTGGAATATCACTTACACGAAACTCAAGAAACGAGTTGTGTCTCTCAAGCCCTGGTCTTGTTTGCGATCTCGTAAAAAGCAAGAGAAGAGGATTTTAAGAGTTTTCTTCAGTTTTTCCATTTTGTGCACAAACTCCTGCCAAAGTCACAATAGTTTAATCAGCAGCAGGCCAAGTTGGCGTCAGTGGGCAGGCTTTGGTCTTATGCAGGACTTGTGGTTTGGTTTAGGGCTATGTTGACTATGGAGTGCAGAAAAGAACCATTTATTTTGACGTGCATTCCTTTCATATGTGTCACACATGCATGTCCTATCTGCGTTTTTGAGGGAGGGGCGAACCTACGCCGGGGCCTGCTGTGCCTCTTTCTGCGTCAGACTACAGTGAAGGGAGAGGAACAGGGAGTGTGGTCTGTTTTGACAACATAACTGATTTGGTCACTGCTCGTCTCTCCTCCTTTCCCTCTGTGCACTGAGTGCCTTTTTATTTGGTCATAATCAAATCTTATCACTCACCAGCACCACTGTGCCTGATCCACTTAGGATTGAGCTTTAATCATTGTCACACTGCTCCTGTTTGCTGTTCACCAAATTAATTGGATTTGGCAGTCAACTTGATGGACTGACTGCAGCCACTTTGATCAGTCTCCAGTGTGCTTTGGCCTACTTAAACACAAACCAGGACAGTCCAGGTATGCACCCTTGAGGCATTGAGGAGGACACAAGCGCTGGGGTGGGGTTTAGATGGAGGGCAGTTATGCCAAAACACATCGGCGCTGTATGACGCGCGTCAAAACAGCCGACTCCATTATTTTCTATTTACAAACCCACACCGGCGGTGGCTCGACGCGCGAACTGGAGTGTGCAATAGAAATCTGGTTGATGCCCCGCAGCACGACGCTTTTTGTGTGTGTTGGGGGCGGCACTTTAGCGCTGTTAGTTGCATCTACCTGGTACACAGGTGGAGCCAATTAGAATGATGATGATGACAATGGTGACATTGATGCCCAGCCACTCCTGTGCTTTGAGAGAGTGTGCCTTTAAATGCCCATATCTGAGTGTGGTGTTCTTGTTTATTTGAGCAGAACCTGGAGGTTGGGGGGGGGGGCACTCAGACAGAGTGCAGGGTGGGCGGCATAGAATGAAGCTGGAGTCAGGGAGAAAGAGGACATTTCTTTGGAGTTAGTCACTGTGGGGAGAGGCTGGGCTCCCTTCCAGCTGGCCTGACGGCTCTATCAAGGAATGTGTGTGACTGGAGGCCTGGGTGGGGCTGTGGACTGAGCTGCTCCCTCTGCAAGCAGAACACACAGGCGAAGCGATGTGATCCGCCTCGTGGACCGCGGCGTGGTATTTCTACTCTCTAGCGCGGCATGTGTTTTCATTTGCTTTCCCTGCGCTTGGTGACCACAGTTCACCTTACCGTGCATGCCTGCGTGCGTGTTTATGTGTGCGGCCTCACCAAGGTACGGGGAACAGAATGTGGGGTGAACCTATTTCTAACATTCCATGTGTGTGGGCATTATTGCAAATCACATTCATCAACAAAGCTCACAAAAAATAACCCACAGGCATTTCTTTCACAATCAGAGATCTCACATGCCCTTAATCTGATCCAGGCTAATTCTGTCTCACATTACCTTGACACTGATCTACCTTTGTCATTCAGTCAGCCCTTCACCTGAGTGACTCCCAACATGGCAGTCTGATTAATTCGTGTCTGTAACAAGAGCATGGGTTAGAGAGTGTACACAGCTGCTCTGGCGCAAGTCTTCCAACACAAACATAATGACAACCACGCACTGGCTGGCATTTATCTCAGCTATGTCTCATCTATTTCAGCTTGGGACCCGTTCAAAAAGGTTATCAACAACAGCACATTCGTAGACAAATCTTGAAAGCGTATTACAAGCTTTGCACCAATGGCACTTGTTTTTAGAAGCATGTTTAGTCACTTTCTCTAGATTGCATTTAGCATTTGGCAGAGGTATAGTTTCAGAGTCTCACTAACACAGTCGTTTGGCATACTTTTCACAAAGTAATAAGCAATTTTGTTTATTGAACATGTGGAGCTGGGGAGGGGGAGGTAAACGACAGGGTTGAAGAGCCTGTCTCAGAAGAATTTTTGTGAGGGATCTGTTCCCACTGGTAGATGCCTGTCTGTGCACGCAAGTTTGGTTCTGTTTGTACTGGGACTGACAAAGAGAAGGCTTTGTTTCACAATGTGCCGGTGGGCTGAGGCAACACTCCTCGTAAGTCCGGTAATATTTTGGGCTTGTCACAGCGGGTAAAAGTAAGATTGACTTGGTATGCAGTATGACACTTAAAGCCTTAATCACGAATACAGTTGCAACCTTATTTTATCGATATAATGGCTCATGTGGCTGCCTGTTTCCGCTGTTATACTACACTGCTTTTATACTTTACACCTTTGCAGTGCAGTCTTGAGCAAAGAAACTAGAGCAGAGGAATTCACAAGCATAGTACATTTTATGGAATTAGTCTCTTTTTTCCTCTCAGTTTCAAATTCCACCAAGCTGAACTGGATCCTAGTGTGTTAGTGTGTCTGACTATCTGCCCTGCAGAAGTGGGGCCACACCAAACAAGTAGCTGGATTTATTTACTCAAAGGGAGTCTTTTGCATAGCAGCTTGCCAGGGTCAATACTGCTGCTACTGCTGGTTAACTATTAAAGCCTCTAAAGGCTCTGATTGGTCATGGGAAGGTCCATTGAGCATGAGCAATAAAATGCCATGAGCAAATCTTGAATGGAACCAAAGTATATGTGGCTTTGTGTGTCATGGTGGGACACACCTCTTAACGCAACAGTGACTCAAGTGTGAGGAATATGCTTTGTTATCTGTCAAACATGCAACTAAAATGTGGTGTGTTGTTGTGAGAGAATGAAGCAGAGTGAAGACAGGGTGGGCTTCTTTTGTATCGTCCATGATAACAGTAGAACTTGTCCTCTTATCATATAGTTAAATCCTAATCTTGTTTTTTTTTCTGTCAACAGAAGCGAAGAATTCAAGAAAACCACAGCATCAAACTGAAGGCCTCGGCCTTGCTTGAGCAATCCAAGGTAAGTGTCTTCAGACATAATGCAAGAGATCCACACAACACATCTGTTATTGGTTGAGTAAAGAAAAGACATTTCTTATCACCCATCACTCCACTCCAAGGCCATCAAGTCACTGTCACCTTAGAACAGCGTTATATTATGCGGCCAGACGCCAAACCTCTGTTGGAATGTTTGTTGCAAAGCTTCCTTTGAACCTGGAAGGTCGTGCCACTGCCATTCAGCTGTGAAAGGCCTGCCTTGTGGAAACCTGACACTTGGCTGCTTCTGCTCGCTGTGCCTCCTCTTTGCACCCCTCCTTCCTCCCCCTAGACACCACCTGTTCCGCTCGAACCCCTTTCCCCTTCTTACGAAACAACCCTGTCAAAAGCTAGCCGGACGCACACTGTTTTAACTGTTTGTTGGCAGCTGTAGACGATTTATCCCTTACGAGTGGAGGGAAAGGTTGCAGAAGATGCTAGACCAAACCTAAACCCTATGCAGGCCAATGACAGGCTATAAGAGAGGCATAGCCACAAAAGCTCCTTGGTTGCACTCTAGTTAACAGGAGCTTTTGTCTGGCTGGCTGTCCTCACATCCCCCCTTGCTCAACACAACATACCAGGCCATAATAAAATGCGATAGATAAACGAGCTCATCTGTTTCCCTTGGCTCTCATGCCTCCATGGTTTCCTCCAACGCCTCTTGCAAAAATCTCATTTTGTCTGATCTTCAAATATGCTTCTGATTACATCATTAAGTGAATTTAAAGACATGTGACATCAGGAATGTCAGTCTCAGGCATGTCAGAGAAATGAAAGGGAAAGAAAAGTGAACTGGGTGATTGTCATGTTGCCTGATTGCTTCAAGTCACAGACCGCCTGCCTGTCTTATGATCCCAGGCACAGAGCCTTACTTATTTAGAATCCATTTAAGACACAATTCATGTCTAATCACATGATCTTTGTCATGTTAATTGTTTCTCTGTGCTTTATTTCCAAAATAGGTTATGCTATGTTAGGGCAAGCTTGTCTACAGAGGGGGGTTCTTAAACTGAAGATTGATAAAGAATGAAGACAGAGAGCGAAGTGTGTAAATATTCAGGATGTCCTCCGCACAGCTGTTGTAAGCTCCCGAGGACACTTCAGTGATAGCCCTGTATTTTTTGTTCCTATTCCCCCTCTCACTGTTAACTCACAAGCTAAAGTTCCACAGAGCAGTTTCACAACCATTCCTCTCCCTTTCCCGCTTACTTTCTTGCTCACTTTCATTTTTTTTTTTTTTACCGTTTCCTCTTCTCTACATCTCCCTCCCTCTCTCTAAGTTCCTTCCTTTCCCCCTATATTGCTGCGAGCCTCAGCTCCTCCCTGCAGCTTGCTGCCAGAAATATGTCAAAGCTGTGAGAACAAGGACAGCTCAAATAGTTCACTCTGGATCAGGGAGAGCCTCTGAGCTAGGGGAGAAGGAAAAGATGGTTAAATATGTAAGGTAATTGTGTTTTAAAAAATAGATAGAGGGAGAGAGAGAGAGTATGAGAGTTGTGTCCTGAGGTTATCCCTGTGAGTGAGAAATACAGGAATGAATAAGAAAACTGTTTTCTCTCCCTCGCTCTTAGGGAAGTTTTTGTGAACACATGGATGTTGCCTCCCCCTTTCCTTCTGTGACATTAAAAAAAAAAAAAAAAAAAAGTAATCCAGCCAACAATAATATGTGCCTTGTTTGAGAGTCAAAATGCCTCATATTCACTGTCGCCTTCTCAGACTGAAGCTGAATAGTTCTATGTAATGCCAACAAGCACTGAGAAGCATGTGGACGAAAAAAAAGTGTGAGGAAACCAAGATCATGTGAAAGGCTTGTCGGCTATTCTTGTCTGTTTTCATTAACTGAATGAGGAGAGGAGATAGATGTGTAAAATGAACCGCATTGTGACCCATGGGAAAAACACAAATTCTTTTGGTTCAGTCCAAATACTCTCGGGCTAGGATCAGAGTGTCCGGGGTTAAGATGCTATAAGTGGCAGTGTCAGTTGACCTGAGTGAAATTTGATCTACACAAGTTAATTGGGTAAAGCTGGGTCCTTGGCTCTACAAACTGCCTTGTTTGTTCCCTCCATGCTCCCACATTTCAGCTGTGTCTGATGCATATAATGTCGTGGATACTGTAAGGCTGGAGGTCTTGATAGATTCATGTTACTAGCTTCAGTCAAGCCACACTGACAGAGACAATAAAGAGACAGAGAGCGCGAGGAGGGAGCAGATCAGGTTGTAGATGCCTGCAAATGGTTGGCGTCATATTTGGCATAAACACCATGCCTATCTGCGGTATTATCACTCTCAGTGGCCCTGGCTTTTGTTTTTCAGTCCCAAGTGTGTGCAAAAGGCTGTTTCAGAGAGTGGGCTTAATGTTACCTCAAAGCATTGCTGGCATTTTTCAGTATTTCCAATCATGCAATCTCAGTCTATTTATTGACTGGTGTTAATTGGTGCATTGCTCGCTGTGTGCCCTTGGACAGGGTCCAGCAAACTAGGGAGACCAGTTTGCAAACCACCTGGCATTCCAAACTGTCTGTTTATTAATGCGTTCTCACACACCCTAACTCTCCCAAAAACCTACAAAGACCTACACGCACCATATAGACTTATAGCAAACAAGCCAAAACATAGGCATTGTCTTCTTCTAACCTTCTCATTTGTTTAAAAACCTCTTTGCTGACAGTGTGGTGAGAGTGGCAGATGGCCGTTGACCAAGTTATGCTTATTACGGACCCTTTTGAAACAGCTGTTTCTTTATCTTTGCCTCAGGTTCCTCTTGTTCCCAGCAGCTTGTTATCTTGCAGAACAGTGTGACAACTTCAGTGAATGGGGAATAGATGTTTGGCTTACTGGTGTAATGTTATTTACAATGGTGCAAAATAGTATTGAATGAAGGTGTAAGTGTGTTTTTAGACATTTTACCTTAAAGGAGAAGGTCTTGGCAGGGTTGTAACTTCATTGAGACCTTCTGAATGACTGTGGGAAAATGTATGACCCTCCTTCCACCATCAATAATCTTAGATATTTTTTATATTCACACAAAATGTAGGTAGTATTGGAGCCAATGTAAACAAGTAAACAGCATGGAGGCAGTGATAGTAATGTCTTAAGCATATTGCCAGTCCTCTTTACAAACTGCATCATCACACAAGCTGTGTGTGCACTTTGGGCGAATATGGGTGTCTGACAGCCACACATCCTACCATACACCACCAACAAAATTTATTAAGCCCACATATCACACTTAAACACATCGCAGCATGCACAAAGCCAGCATTAGCAACATGTGCATATTAATAACAGTTATCCCAAATAAACTGCAACATACACAGCAGTGGCAGCAGCAGACAGAATATTGACGTGGCGTGGCAGCCATTATTGGTTTTTGTATACTCACCCTTTGGTTATAAAAAGTTATTTGAAAACAACCTTTTGGAGATGGGGGAAAAAAAAAAAAAACTATGATCCCTTACCTTGCCTGCACCGCATCCAGTGGGCGGTTAAAGGGGAACTAAGCCCATTTTCAAAATTCATACATGTAATTTCTATGGAGTAAGACAGTTTGAAAAACATTAGTAGACATAAACAGCTCTCTCCTAAATCCAAGTGCCAGCGTGCGAAACTCAAACTTGTGATGTCATATGGTATAAAGACTGGCGCTGCTCCAGTGTCTATGAATTGAGAAAGATATCAGAGATGACGCTGAGAGCACTCAGAGGAACATTCTGAGTATATGGGTACATCTTCTGTGTCAGAACTGAGAACATTATAATAGAAATAAGCTCATTTGGGTGTTAAAAAACATTCTGTGGGTCTGCAAACTCAGCCTCCCATTCATTGTCTGTGGAGCAGCTCCAGACTTTATACCTAATGACATCACAAGTTTGAGACTTCTCTGGTTTCTTGCTTTGACAGAGAGTAGCTCATGTTCACAAATATTGATTGAACTTTCCAAGGACATAGAAGTAACATATTGAAATTCTTAAACTAGCTGGTGTTTCCTTTTAAGGTGGGGCATGCAGTCCAGTGAGTTTAAGATAGGGGTGGAAGTTTAGAGATTCCAATCACCATATGGCAGTAAAAGGCACATTTTGAAAAGAAAGACACATCTAAAATAAGTACAAAATACAACTATTTAAAGTTGTATGTCTCTCCCCTAAGCCAAAAAAAAAAAACGCAAGTGCTTCCCAAATGCTTAAAAAATTGTGACTTGCCTCCCACATTTTTTCCTCCCTTCATAAATAACAAACAGTACCTTACCTTGTTATATATTCACATGTAAATTCAATGATCACCCACATTTGGCTATGTGTTATCTCAGCAATCTGACCACATGTCATCACCTCACATAATGACCTTGGAAGAAGTCTACTATCTGTCGGTAAAGATAGAGCCATCTCAGCAATCTGACTACGAGATCAGTGGATCATACAAACAAAGCAATACACTAGTAAACCAAGTGGAAAAAGGCATAATTGACTCCCCCCCACCCCCCACCCCCCCACATATGAAGTGCTTAGCTTACCACCCAGAACTTGCATCTTGCAATGCTCTGAATAATTATGGTGCAGGGTGATAAAATGACGGTAAATCCTCTACCATCCCTCCCTGAGTTGGTCCTGGTTGTCAAGTCTACCCCATAAAAACACATGCAACCAGTCACTACTATGACTCATATCCTGTTTCTTTTGTGCCATCCTGTGGATAGGCTTTTGGCATTTATTTTGGCTGATTATAGGCAAATAGACAATTTGATGAAACCTACTGAATGGCTGCACAGTTTGATGTGGTAAGCTGCACCAGGCAGCCGTAGACTGAGTCTGTCACTGAAATGACTGTGGTAATGAAGCTTTGTCAGTGTCTCATGGTACAGTATCGTTCAGCAAAAAAAGTTTCAGTACTGTCAAAGATTGACTGGTTGCTTTTGATATGATCGAGTCAAATGCTCTAGCACTGGATGAAAACAAAGCACATGGAATGAGTTTGCCTTTTTCAATGAAACTATTCACAACAGTGTATGGGAAACATGTAAGTCACATTGCACAAAGTGTTTGCCAAATTAATGCAATGTAAAAATGTGCAGCCATTGCTTGCTAGGTAGAGACACGTGGCCCAAACAGCTTTGTGATATTGAAGGTTGTGGAGAGTTTGGTAATAATGAAACAATTGTTCAAGCAGGTCAGAGATGCATGCAGACATACCTTATAATGTTGATGGTTGCAAATGTGTATCTATAGTGCACATAAAGATATAGAGAAGCTAGGCATGCTTGTAAATTAACTTGATATAAACTAATAGAAATATGGTAATTTGTTACATCATTGTTTGCTTATTGAAAGCGATTATGCATTGTGGCCAGCACTATCTAATAAAGTCGATTGACCACACCCAGTAAGTAACATACATACTTTTGCATTTCTGACTATACCTGAAAGGTGATCAACTTTTTGATGCAGTGGTAGTCATAAATATGATTAAAACAAATACATGGTAAACCCAGATACAAAGCTGTCATTAATCAACAGAGTAAGAGGTTGGATGTGTATTGTGTGTGTAAGCATATACGAATGTGTACTTGTTGTAGTCTGATAGAACTACTGAGAATGTCCATTTGTGTTAAAGCGAGAGCGTGCACTAACATGCTGGCATATGCTGTGCCTTTCTGCACCTCTGTGTGTGTTTTCATAGAGCAAGGCAGCTTTATCTATCATTGTCCTCTCTATTGACATTGGAGCTGGGGTGTAGGCACAGGATTGGGCTGCTTTCCTCAGGGCAGGGTGTGGCCTGACTCCAAGCAAATTTCCAAAACACAGCGCTGGGGAAGGAGGGGGGGGGGTGGAGGCTATGTTGTGTGAAAGGGTTTTACTACCATCTAGTGTTTACCATTGGGTCCTACAAGCCAGACCAGCTAACAGAGTGGAGTTAGTAAATAGGACTTACCTTAAGAGGGATGCACTGTTTTTCATGATTTTGTCTTAATGATTATTATTGTCTTTTCTTCATGCAGGAAAACCAAGAGAGTGTTTCCAACACACCAGGGCTTAAATAGAGGAAAGCAAAAACAAGGTATTTTACAAAGATCTCAAAAAATCCCTTGTACTTTTTGTATCTCATCCTGTATACTGTATATATACTAAAAAAACATATGCTGCAAGGTCTTACTGACATACTTGTGTTTTTTCACCTGAACCCCTTATTTACTGTATATGGTTATGTTTACAGATGGCTGAAGAGGAGGAAACCAGAGAGGTGCTCTTTCCAGATTGGGAGGGTCCAGACAAAACTGGCTTGACCATTGAACAGACAAGTGGAGGAGAGCTCTTTGTCAAGGAGGTCAAAGGAGAGTCACCTGCAGCACGGTCTGGAAAAGTATATGAAGGTAGCAAATACATTTTCTTTCTCAAATCATCAAGTATGAAGTAAAATTTGTCTCAAATTTATTCTGTATTCTAGTATTGTTAACAGAGTTTTTGCCACTGTCTCTGCAAAATTCATAGGTGACCAGATTGTGGGCGCCACTGTCTACTTTGACAACATGAGCTCAGAAGAAACAGCTGAGCTACTGAAGACGTTGAACCGACACAAGGTTGGACTGAAACTACAAAACAAATCCCCTTGCTGCTCACCTGTGAGTACACCATGTCGTTCACCAATCGGCACCCTGACATGGGAAGGGAAGACCCGGTTTGGAGGTTCCAGTCCAGACATCATCCTTGTAAGCCCTTTTTGAAATTATATGGTCACTTTTTTGTTTATGGGGAAGCTACTGAACAGAGTACATGGTATAATATCATTTCCTGTTGTATTTCCTGTCTTTTTCTATCAACAGAGTGGGGAGGATGAGGACTATAAGAGAATATACACAAAAAAGATTAAACCAAGGCTGAAGTCTGAAGACCTTGCAGAGGGAGTGGATGTTCGCACAGAGCGGCATAGCAGCACAAGCAGTGATGGCAGCACAATTACTACCATCACCCGCCGCATCACTACCTACACCGTGGATATGCCGGGTGGCATAAGTGAGCAACTTGAACTGTCAAGCCCAGAGTTTAAGGGGCTACAACAAGAATCTGGAGATGGCACTTCTTACATCAGAATCTCACATGGCAGCCCTTCAGGTAACGTGAAACCAGAAGAGGGAGTTTTTGAGTCAAGCAATGTATCTGTCAGTGGGCCACAAGTCAGCACCACAGAGACACGCTGGAGCAGTGGGGGGGTTCAGATTAAAACAACTACAAGAGAGGTAGAAAGAGACAAAAGTCCAGGTCTTGGATTTAAAGGATCTAACTTTGGACCAACAGGGGCTAAAGGCCAGGGAGACTTTGAGATCTTAAGAGGGAGTGGAGAACAAGGTGACAGAAATATTCAGTTGTCAGGAATAAGCAAGACACTAAGAGACAGCACAAACACTGGTAGTAAGTATGTTACAATAGGAGGATTGGTAGGTGGAGAGGTAACCTCAACTGATGAGAATGGAGGGTCAATTAGTATGTCCTTACCAGGAAAAAGCATGCAGATTTTGACATCATCCACAGATAAAACCCAAGAGCGAAGTGTTGACGCCAGTTCTGGTGAAAGGACAAAGGTGAAGGTATCTGAGGAAAAGGGATCAGGCAGTATTGATCTTCCGAATGTCAGACTTGGTGGAGGTTCCATAGATAGTGATGCTGAATTGAGAGGTGGCAGGATAGGAGGAACAACAACAACAGGAATAACAGTAGGCAATGTTGCCTCAGGATATTCCTCGAGGCCAGGCAAGATTTCAGTGGCAGGTGTGAATGTCAACCTTACAGGTTCAAAGTTGAAAGGTGAGGTTGATGTTAACTTGCCAAGCACAAAGGGAGGAATAAAATCATCTAGAATAGACACTGAAGTCCCAGGCTATGAATATGAAGAAGTGCGAAAACCAGAAGCAGACATCAGAGGGATAGATACACAGATCAGAGGTCCAAGTTCTAACATTGAAGGGCCAGTTGTCAGTGTAAGACTTCCAGAGGCTGACTTCAAAGCACCCGAAATCAACTCGAGCATTCAAACCAATGTACCAAAAAGTGATAGCAAATACAAAGTGGAAGTGTCAAAGGTAAAAATTCCATCTTTATCTGGGCCAGATACAGATTTGAACCTGAAGAGTTCCAAGGCAGAGGGAGGTATTGATGTAGCAGTGCTAAAGCCTGAGGGAGAACTAAAGGCACCCAAAATAGACATTAAAGGCCCAGCTATAAACATTGAGGGGGAAGAAGGAGATTTAAAAATGCCTCAAATAAAGATACGATCATATGGGGCCAAGGGACCAAGAGTTGACATAAAAGCACCTAAGGCTGGCATTGAAGCACCAGAAGTTGATGGTGAAGGAGTGAAATTCAAGATGCCATCCAAAACAGGACCCACAATGCCAGAATCAGACATCAGCCTGAAAGGAAGTAAGGTGAAGGTAGAAATGGATGTGTCAGTGCCAAAAATTGAGAGACACACAACAAAACCTGAAGTTGAGACAAACATTAATGTGAAAGCACCTGGTGTTGACATTCATAGGGCAGATGCCAAATTCAACATACCAACCATATCAGGAACAAAAATCTCCATGCCAAGTGTGGATTTCAGTCAGAGAGGACCGGAAATCAAAGGGGACGTGGATGTGTCAGCTCCAAAGATAGAGAGAGACATTAAAACGCCTGGAGTTGATATTAAAGGGCCAAAGAGTGGATTTGGTATAAAAACTCCAAAAATGGAGGGTACAGATGTAGATGTAAAACTCCCCAAGACTAATATTGATGTTAAGGCACCTGAATTTGACATCAAAGGTCCAGGGATTGATATTGAAGGCCCTGAGACAAAAATCAGAGGACCAGAATTTAAACTACCATCAATGTCAGGACTCAAGCTGCCAGATGTGGATATGAGTCTGGAAGGGCCCACGATAACGGGAGACATTGACGTGTCAGTTCCAGAAATAGTGGGTGAAATGAAAACTCCCGAAGTCAAAATTGAAGGACAGGATGTTGACATTGAGGGCCGCAAAGGAGAATTTAAAATGCCTAAATTCAGCAAGCCATCCTTGGGGATTAAAGGTCCTAAAGTGCAGGGTCATAAAGTTGATGTTAGCCTCCCAAAAGCTGATATTGATATCAAAGCCCCTGAAGTGGATATTACAGGACCACACATTAAAACACCTGAGCTTGACATCAAAGGTCCATCAGTTCACACTGAAGATCCAAAAGGAGGATTTGAAATGCCAAAAATCAAAATGCCGACATTTGACAGCAAAGGTCCAAAAGTGGAGGGTCCAGATGTTGATATCAACCTTCCCAAAGGTGGCATTGATGTAAAAATGCCTGAAGTAGATGTGAAAGCTCCCAAGGTTGATATCGAAGGACCAGATCTTGATATCGAAGGCCCAAAAGGAGGATTTAAAATGCCTAAATTTGGCTTGCCAAAGTTTGGGTTGAAAGGTCCAAAAGTGGAGGGTCCAGAAGTTGATGTCAGCCTCCCAAAAGCTGATATTGATATCAAAGCCCCTGAAGTGGATATCAAAGGACCAGATCTTGACATTGAGGGTCCAAGTGGTAAAATCAAAGGACCCAAATTCAGCATGCCAAAAATTTCAGGACCAAAACTTTCCATGCCAGATGTGGATTTCAATCTGAGAGGTCCCAATCTCAAAGGTGATGTGGATGTGTCAGTGCCAAAGATAGAGGGAGACATTAAAACACCTGAGCTGGACATCAAAGGTCCACAGGTTGACATTAAAGGTCCGAAAGGAGGATTTGAAATGCCAAAAATCCAAATGCCAACATTTGACATCAAAGGTCCAAAAGTGGAGGGTCCAGATGTTGATATCAACCTTCCCAAAGGTGGCATTGATGTAAAAATGCCTGAAGTAGATATGAAAGCTCCCAAGGTTGATATTGAAGGACCAGATCTTGATATCGAAGGCCCAAAAGGAGGATTTAAAATGCCTAAATTTGGCTTGCCAAAGTTTGGGTTGAAAGGTCCAAAAGTGGAGGGTCCAGAAGTTGATGTCAGCCTCCCAAAAGCTGATATTGATATCAAAGCCCCTGAAGTGGATATCAAAGGACCAGATCTTGACATTGAGAGTCCAAGTGGTAAAATCAAAGGACCCAAATTCAGCATGCCAAAAATTTCAGGACCAAAACTTTCCATGCCAGATGTGGATTTCAATCTGAGAGGTCCCAATCTCAAAGGTGATGTGGATGTGTCAGTGCCAAAGATAGAGGGAGACATTAAAACACCTGAGCTGGACATCAAAGGTCCACAGGTTGACATTAAAGGTCCGAAAGGAGGATTTGAAATGCCAAAAATCCAAATGCCAACATTTGACATCAAAGGTCCAAAAGTGGAGGGTCCAGATGTTGATATCAACCTTCCCAAAGGTGGCATTGATGTAAAAATGCCTGAAGTAGATATGAAAGCTCCCAAGGTTGATATCGAAGGACCAGATCTTGATATCGAAGGCCCAAAAGGAGGATTTAAAATGCCTAAATTTGGCTTGCCAAAGTTTGGGTTGAAAGGTCCAAAAGTGGAGGGTCCAGAAGTTGATGTCAGCCTCCCAAAAGCTGATATTGATATCAAAGCCCCTGAAGTGGATATCAAAGGACCAGATCTTGACATTGAGGGTCCAAGTGGTAAAATCAAAGGACCCAAATTCAGCATGCCAAAAATTTCAGGACCAAAACTTTCCATGCCAGATGTGGATTTCAATCTGAGAGGTCCCAATCTCAAAGGTGATGTGGATGTGTCAGTGCCAAAGATAGAGGGAGACATTAAAACACCTGAGCTGGACATCAAAGGTCCACAGGTTGACATTAAAGGTCCGAAAGGAGGATTTGAAATGCCAAAAATCCAAATGCCAACATTTGACATCAAAGGTCCAAAAGTGGAGGGTCCAGATGTTGATATCAACCTTCCCAAAGGTGGCATTGATGTAAAAATGCCTGAAGTAGATATGAAAGCTCCCAAGGTTGATATTGAAGGACCAGATCTTGATATCGAAGGCCCAAAAGGAGGATTTAAAATGCCTAAATTTGGCTTGCCAAAGTTTGGGTTGAAAGGTCCAAAAGTGGAGGGTCCAGAAGTTGATGTCAGCCTCCCAAAAGCTGATATTGATATCAAAGCCCCTGAAGTGGATATCAAAGGACCAGATCTTGACATTGAGGGTCCAAGTGGTAAAATCAAAGGACCCAAATTCAGCATGCCAAAAATTTCTGGACCAAAACTTTCCATGCCAGATGTGGATTTCAATCTGAGAGGTCCCAATCTCAAAGGTGATGTGGATGTGTCAGTGCCAAAGATAGAGGGAGACATTAAAACACCTGAGCTGGACATCAAAGGTCCACAGGTTGACATTAAAGGTCCGAAAGGAGGATTTGAAATGCCAAAAATCCAAATGCCAACATTTGACATCAAAGGTCCAAAAGTGGAGGGTCCAGATGTTGATATCAACCTTCCCAAAGGTGGCATTGATGTAAAAATGCCTGAAGTAGATATGAAAGCTCCCAAGGTTGATATTGAAGGACCAGATCTTGATATCGAAGGCCCAAAAGGAGGATTTCATATGCCTAAATTTGGCTTGCCAAAGTTTGGGTTGAAAGGTCCAAAAGTGGAGGGTCCAGAAGTTGATGTCAGCCTCCCAAAAGCTGATATTGATATCAAAGCCCCTGAAGTGGATATCAAAGGACCAGATCTTGACATTGAGGGTCCAAGTGGTAAAATCAAAGGACCCAAATTCAACATGCCAAAAATTTCTGGACCAAAACTTTCCATGCCAGATGTGGATTTCAATCTGAGAGGTCCCAATCTCAAAGGTGATGTGGATGTGTCAGTGCCAAAGATAGAGGGAGACATTAAAACACCTGAGTTTGACATCAAAGGTCCACAGGTTGACATTAAAGGTCCGAAAGGAGGATTTGAAATGCCAAAAATCAAAATGCCAACATTTGACATCAAAGGTCCAAAAGTGGAGGGTCCAGATGTTGATATCAACCTTCCCAAAGGTGGCATTGATGTAAAAATGCCTGAAGTAGATATTAAAACTCCCAAGGTTGATATTGAAGGACCAGATCTTGATATCGAAGGCTCAAAAGGAGGATTTCATATGCCTAAATTTGGCTTGCCAAAGTTTGGGTTGAAAGGTTCAAAAGTGGAGGGTCCAGAAGTTGATGTCAGCCTCCCAAAAGCTGATATTGATATCAAAGCCCCTGAAGTGGATATCAAAGGACCAGATCTTGACATTGAGAGTCCAAGTGGTAAAATCAAAGGACCCAAATTCAGCATGCCAAAAATTTCTGGACCAAAACTTTCCATGCCAGATGTGGACTTCAATCTGAGAGGTCCCAATCTCAAAGGTGATTTGGATGTGTCAGTGCCAAAGATAGAGGGAGACATTAAAACACCTGAGTTCGACATCAAAGGTCCACAGGTTGACATTAAAGGTCCGAAAGGAGGATTGCCAAAAATCCAAATGCCAACATTTGATATGAAAGGTCCAAAAGTGGAGGGTCACCTTCCCAAAGGTGACATTAAAGTGCAGGCACCTGACGTTGACATTAAAGGTCCAGAGGTAGATATCCAAGGGCCCAAGGGTGGATTTGAAATACCTAAAATCAAAATGCCATCAATATCAGGACCCAAGATGCCAGATGTGGACATCAGTTTAAAAGGACCAAGGATAAAGGGAGATATCTCAGCTCCAAAGATTGAGGGAGACATAAAAACACCTGAAGGTGAGATTAAAGTTCCTAATGTGGAATTTGAAATTCCCGAGGGAGAACTTAGTGGGCCAAAGGTGAAGTTACCAAAAGTATCTGGACCAAAAATAACTTTGCCAGATGTTGACATCAACTTAAAGGGGCCAAAGCTGAAGGGTGACTTGAAAGGAGATGTTCAACTACCAAAAACAGAAATTGAAGGACCAGATGTTACTATTGATGTGCCAGAAATTGGCACAAAGAAAACTAAATTTAAATTGCCAAAGTTTGGATTTAAGGGCCCAAAGGTAAAAGGCCCCGAAACTGATGTGAAAATGGGAAAAGGAGATATAAATATCAAAGGGAAGACTGGAAGCTCTGAAGGTCTTAATCTTGACCTGGGAATTTCTGGTCCGAAAAGTAAGGGTTCAAAATTCAAGATGCCAAAATTTAGTATGAAAGGTTCAAAGGTTGAAATGCCAGATGTTGATGTCAGCCTCCCAAAAGCTGATATTGATATCAAAGCCCCTGAAGTGGATATCAAAGGACCAGATCTTGACATTGAGAGTCCAAGTGGTAAAATCAANAAGCTGATATTGATATCAAAGCCCCTGAAGTGGATATCAAAGGACCAGATCTTGACATTGAGGGTCCAAGTGGTAAAATCAAAGGACCCAAATTCAACATGCCAAAAATTTCAGGACCAAAACTTTCCATGTCAGATGTGGATTTCAAACTGAGAGGTCCCAGTCTCAAAGGTGATGTGGATGTGTCAGTACCAAAGATAGAAGGAGACATTAAAACACCTGAGCTCAACATCAAATGTCCGTCTGTTGACATTGAAGGTCCACAAGGAGGATTTGAAATGCCAAAAATCAAAATGCCATCCGTTGGCTTGAAAGGTCCAAAGTTGGAGGGCCCAAGCGTTGACATAAATCTTCCCAAATCCAACATTGATGTTAAAGCACCTCATGTTGATTATAACTTAAAAGGAAAGATGGATGCATCAGCACCCAAATTGGATGCAGATATCAAAGGTCCAAATACTAACATTGCAGTACCCACCATCACAATGGAAGGTTTGTCCGTTGATCCTGTAAAGACAGGTGTTACATTTCCCAAGTTTAAAGGTCCTAAGTTTGGAATGAAATCTCCAGAAGTTGAGGGGAAGACACCCACGTTCAGTGTTGGAGTGAAAGGTCCCAAAACAGAAGTTAGTCTCCCAGATAACGAAGCAAGTCTTGATGCCCCAGATATTAATATCAATGTAAAGGGCAAAAAGGGGAAATTCAAACTTCCCAAAGGAAAAGGAAAGGTAAAGAAACCTGATGTTGACATAGAAACACCAGCAGTAGACCTAGATGTAGACACACCCCATATTCATGTCAAAGGAACAAAGGTAAAGAAGCCTCTTTTTGGTAAGCTTCATTTCCCTGATGTGGAATTAGATATTAAATCACCAAAGTTAAAAGGAGATGGATCTTTTTCAGAGGGATTCAGATCACCTGATACAGATTTTCCATCTGCTAGCTTGAACACCGCTATTGAGGGCTCTGGTATTGGCGGTCCAAATGTGAACGTCTCCACTTCTGATATTGATGCAAATCTAAACAGACAAGGAGAGGTTTCCATGTCTGCTGGTTTTAAAGGCCCAAAAATAAATGTGAAGGGTAGTGCAGAGGTTGATGCAAGTGCTTCAGGGGGGAGTGCAAGTGGTGGCCTTCATTACCCAGAAGGTACAGTAACATTTCCCAAAATCAAGGTCCCAAAATTTGGTATTGCTCTGCCTCAGTTGGAAGGCCAGGGACATGGAGGAAATGTTGAATCAGCTAGTGGAGGCATAAACATACAGTCTCCATCTGTTAGTTGCCAAGTCAGTTCACAAAATATTGAGGTTCCCAGTCCAGAGCTGAGGCACAGTGAAGGAAAGGTTAAGGTAAAGATGCCAAAATTGTTTGGAAAATCAAAAGCAAAGGGCAGTAGTGCAGGTGACCTTCGGGGACCAGAGGTAGAATTGAGTACGAGTGGAAAAGGTGGTAAGGTACATGCAGGAGAACTGATGGGTGGAAAATTAGAATTAGAGGGTGATCCTGGGCTGAGTGTGTCAACAAAAAGCAAGTCAGCCTCATTGGATCTATTTCAGAGATCACGGCATCGGTCTTCTTCCGATGAGGGGGGCCTTGCAGGTAGTTCTCCTTCAGCTCACCTGGAAGCTGAGGGTGGCGACATTTCATTAGACCTAGGTGGAAGCAAGGCCAAAGGAAAGAAAGGCAAGTTGAAGTTTGGCACTTTTGGAGGTTTTGGTTCAAAGTCAAAGGGCTCATATGAAGTGTCACTTGGTGAGGAAAGTGAAGCAGGCGTTTCTCTACCCTCTAAAAAATCGAGATTGTCGTCATCTTCCAGCAGTGACAGTGGTTCAAGAGGTGGTTTCAGGTTCCCAAGACTTGAACTTTCTGTCTCACCAAAAAAATGATTAAATATGAGGCAAGTTAAACTCTCTCGTGTACACCCACATACACTTTTCTGATACGGTAATTTTTTCAGTCTAAAGCTTTTTAAAACCTAAGGAGGTGTACAGCCATCTCAACTTTGTTAACTATGAGTACTTTGTTTTCAGTAATTAGACAGGAGTGCATGAGATTGTTTAAAATCCCTTCAAACTGTAAATAAGATTAATTTGTATTGTAATAATAAATGTTTTTTCTGTACATAGTCCAGATTTATTGAACATATGCCATCTCACCAAATTATCATCAACAGTTTATTACAGGGTTTGCCTTTTTGTCCTTTTTCATTCTTTTAAATGAATGTTATTAATGAACGGGTGTGGTATATTTTTATCCAGGGGTCTATTGCACAGAACAGATAGTTACAACAGTAATTTTGAAGGAAAATGTTGCTTATACATCCAGACACAAATATAAACAGTTACCGTGTTTTATGTAAGAAATTATTTTATTTTCAAGCTTGATATTATATAATCAATGCAGAAGTATATTTAGGCAACATAGAGCTGGCCCTTTGTAATACATTCTAAAGAGTAATGGTGTACATACCATAATTGCAAAGACAATCGCTGTTTGGAAACTATAAATCTCTCTGAAGTGCTGTCAGTACTTTTCTGTTAATTTTTAAGAAACTTTTTTCACCCTCTGATTTTGTGCCATTTACCAAAAAATATGTATTGTTTCATTTGTTTTAAACATGTTTTGTTTCCTAATCCTGTCATTTTCATTCTTACCTGTTTTATGATCCTCAGTATTTTATTTCATGTCACTCTCTCTTTGTACACAAACCTTATGATAATGTAAAAAAATGTCACAAATAAACTGTCACTTTTTGATTGCAACAAAATTTGTGTTGATAGAGAGTTGCATAGTTTTGATCAGATATGATCGAGATAGAGCATGATTCTTTGGGTCTATTCTTTTGTGTGCATTCTGCCAAATAAACTAAATAAAAGATTTATATAATTTATGGAGTTTCTTAAGTCACTATGTGCCAGTGCCTCAATCACATGATATGATACAGGCAATTGTTGATTGCGCTTGTCTATATTTTGTTACACATTACAGTCATTTTATCCAAGTTTTCAATTGATATCCATGTTGCTGAACTACATTACCTTTTAATGTTTCCTTTGTTTATGTGTAGTACTATTCTCTCAGATTTATTTAAGTGAAAACTTTATTCAGTGCCATTTGGATTATTATGCATTTTTATATGATTTACTCATTAGGAATAATCTATTAATTAATTAAACTTGAATTATCATTTGTATTTTTGAGACTTCACAGACCTACTGCCGATGTCACTACTGATGCAGCAACCTGTTCTCTTTCCCAGGTGGGCAGATATCGAGGCAGACTTAGTATAAAGACCAAGAAAGTGTGTTTAGAGAGGAGGTCGGGGTGAATGGATGAATCAAACAAACACAGGACTTATACTGAGGAGACCGCTGTTCATTTCTCATGTGAAAACACAAGTCAACGTTAACCCGAACTATGGTCGGTTAGCTAAACCTAACAACTTATGTTTCCTCTAAACATGGAAGTTGTTCTAAATTTTGGAAAGACACTGTCTGCATCTAACAAGTGAAAACAGACACATTCAAAAATGATGCTAGAGGGGTATCTATTGCAAGATACTTTGAAGCGTAGGGCCATTGACCAAGCTGCCATATTTGATGAGTTTGGAGTGGGAACATGTTGGATGCAGAGACTTAAAAGCTATGGTTGGATATACATTAGTGAACAATTAATTACACAAGAATTACTAAGATCTTTTATTTAAGAAAAAGTACCAATAGCCTACAACAATATAAAAGTAAAGTAAGTAAAAGTACTCCATTCAAAACCCTAGTCAAAAGACTCCTTCACCCACCAAATGACCATCTGTGAATGAGTTAGTGATGCTATCTTAACCTTGAATTTGTGAAGTGAAGAAAACTTTTTTTTCTCTTGCATACCTCCACAAAAAAACAGCCAACATATCGATTTATTGGGGACATATTGTACGTTGCCACTATGTGTGGTGTCGCTGCTGGGTTGTTAGCAGCTTGGTGTCTTTCTCACCACTAAATTCTAATCCATCCTCACTTTCGTAAACAGGGAGTACTAATTTTACCCTCTTTTTCTTTGAAGAGTCATAGAATAATATTGTATTCATACGGAAATGGTAGAAAAATGTGTGTAAAATATAAGCATAGAATATGTTCTGCAGAGAGGACTCACAACATTTATCGTTATAGTAAACTATATGGTGTAGGAGCCTGACTTTTAATGCAACTAACATTATTTAATTATCTAGCTTAATCTGTACAGATATAAAAAAAAATCAATTTTGATAATTTTTATGCATTTGAACAGTATATAAAGCTAAACAAACAGTACCAAAAATATCATGCTGGGAATTCATAAACGTACAGTGTTGCATTTTAAGAATTCTGTATTCCTTAATTTTAGTACATTAAACAATTAAAAAATTAAACTTTACCAATCCATTACTGGGAATTGGGAATTTTTCCACATTGTAAAATGATAGAAAACGACATTTTCAGACATTTTTCTCTGGAGACAGTTGATGGAGCTGAACCATGCGAGGAAAGCCCCAAAAAAGGGACTCAACATGGCCTCCAGAGATTCATGTTACAATATAAACAGGAACATTGGTTTCCTTAGGGCCCTGGCTCTTTTTTTTCTAAAGTACAGTAAAGTAAAGTATTATTATTTTGACCCTCCCCAAAGCTTCAAATACTTTTCCTGGCCCTCCCTCCCTCATAAATTAATTATTAGATTTTAAAAACACACCCTTTGATGTTTGAAAGTTAAGAGTTTAAAGTTGAAGACGAAATCCTGGAGTTGAAAAAAGCCTCAGTTTCTCACTCTTGCTGTGCACGCTCGTTTTAAACAAGACGTAGAATAAAGTGATGAAATATCACTATTGTTAGAATGACCATTTAGCGGCTGGATATTACAGGATGGAGATGTGACCAGCAACACAGACTGATGGAAACTGGCACCTTTTATACTGTGTCACTGATCCACTACCTTGGCTCCTTCTATGAACAGGTACTCCAACGTGTATGTCATGAATATACATATTTAACTAATATAATCAACACATAATATTTAACGTAACCTACCTACAGCTACTTAACCCCCAAATACACACATAATCCTAACAACAATTACTATAAATGCACACTAATTACCAACACCCCCCTCTCCCATACTGTCACTTGGTCCCTCCTGGAACATTTATATCAGTGTCTGTACCCGTGGGGAACTCTTTTAGACAAACGCCCTGGAGCGGACACAGGACAGAACAGATAAGTGTTTATACAACAACTTAAACAATAGACTATGAAATACACGATATAGCATGCTAATCTTATTGCACAAAACTCACTGCACTAATTAAAGTTTTGCTTGTCAAATATGAACACATACTGTATGCGCCACATTATCAGTACTCATTGCAGCACCTGCCAGAAGACAGAATCAGTCAAGGTGTGAAATGTTCAATACATACTGGCCCGAAAAATTGAATGAATAAATAAATAAAGCCATAAAATGACTGATTCAAATGTGCAATGTGTATAATGGTCTGCGCAAATCCTGCTAATAAAGTGCATATATTGTTAACTAAAGTGCCACGTGCTGTTGTTAAGTGCATTAGTTATTATTAGATATCTTGGCATAAATATTTCACCCAAACTATCAGACCTGGTCCACCTGAACTTTAGCCCGCTGCTAGATAAGATCTGTGGTGACCTGAAGCGCTGGAATAATCTTCCCATCTCCCTCCTGGGACAAATAGCCCCAGTTAAAATGAAAATTCTACCCCAAATTAACTTTTTTTTCCATGATTCCATTCACACCCACATCGAAATGGTTCCTGTCATTAGATTCTGCAATTATAAAATTCTACTCAAAGAACAAAACAGCAAAAATTAGCCTAAGCACCCTTCAGAAAAACAAATTGGAAGGGGGATTGGACGCTCCTAACTTTAAACATTACTATTTAGCTAACCAGCTACAATACCTATTGAAATGGTTATATCCTAACGAAGACTACAACTCCTGGCTCGAACTAGAACAGGCGGACTGCAACAATATAAAACTCTCTGACCTCCCGTTTATCACCACTACACTCAGACGTCATAGCTGTTTTAAGAACCCAATGATTGCTTCCACCTTATCAGCCTGGTGGAAAACACTAGAAATCACAAACTCTCCGATAGAACCTTGCTTGCTCTCTCCAATTTGGCACAACCCGGATTTTGAAATTAACAAAAGACCTCTCCATTTTAGCACATGGGAGATGAAGGGAGTAACTCATCTCCATCACCTTTTCCAAGACAATATACTTATGACATACACAAACTTATTTCAAACTTTTGAAATAAGAAATGGCAATTTTCTACAATATTTACAATTGATAAAAACAATCAAGAGGAGAATTCCAGCGCCTCAGGACACTTTGCAGCTACCAGAATTTGCCAAACATATTACAAAGCTTTCTCCGAGTAATAAGAAGAACCTTTCTAAGATTTATAAATTACTGTCAAAGACCAGTTCTATACATTTACCAATTTTAAAATGGGAAAAAGAGCTGGGTGTATCACCGGACCCTGACTTCTGGACTCAGATATGCAAAAATACATTTAAGATGACAAGACACACTAATATACAACTTTCCAATTTAAAGTACTCCACAGAACACACATCACCCAACAAAAGATGAATAGAATGGGCTTTAGTCAATCTGACACATGCACTCAGTGTACTCAGAACACTGCAGACACCTACTTTCATGCACTCTGGTTATGTTCACCCGTCCAGCACTTCTGGTCAACAGTCACTCAAAAACTCTCCTCCATTTTGGACTGCAGGATCCCATTATCTCCCAACCTGTGCTTAATTGGTGACCTGATGACAATTGACCTCCCAAACAGCCACTGCAACTCTCTTCTTGTAGCTCTCGCCATCGCCAAGAAAACAATCCTGGTCAATTGGAAAGATAAACAGACCCTCAACATCAACCATTGGCTGAATCTCCTTGTAGAACATATTTCGCTGGAGAAAATATCTGCTGGCCACAGAAACCAATTAACATACTTTACAGAAAAATGGTCACCATTTATTCACTCACTAAACGTGTCTGTATAGTGCCACTCAGCCTGTGAGCATATGCCACCTGTACATATAAATATTATAACTCAAGAAAGACTGTTGTGTAATATGTAACGTGTTTCTGTTAATGATGTAACCCCTAATCCCTCTATCTCTCTCACCACAATATACCACAGCGGTTCATCAGAACTCAAGGTCTTAAGCATGTGTTAGGTGCACCTTCTTCCCCTTGAATCCAGGCCTGCTCCCTGGCTCTGTGGGGGATCGCGTGGCCGGCCCCCCTGGGGGGCTCTTTCCGCCCCTGGTGGTGCGAGGTGGGTGGGCTCCTCCCCCTCCCCCCCTTCGCTCCGCTCCTGCCCTTCCCCCTCCCTCCTCCCTCCTCCCTCCCCCCTCTCCCCGTCCCTCCCTGCTCCTCTCTCCCGGCCTTGGGCGGGCCCGGGGTCCTCCCCCGGGTTGGGGGGCCTGGTATGGGGGCTGGGTGCTGCCCGCGGGGGGTGTTCTGGTGCTGCGCAGTGTGGGCCTGCCCGTTGGTGTGCGGCCGGCGGTAGGGGGCGGGACGGATGGGCTGGGGGTCCAGCTTTGGGTCTGTGGCGGTCTGGGGGGGTACTGGCGGGGTTGCGGGTTGGCCTGTGCTCCTGCGCGTCGGGGGGGCTCGGTGGGGCCCGTCGTCCGTGCACCCTGGTGGCGCGCCTCGTCCTTCTGCTGGGGTTCGATTTGCTGCGGGCGGTGTGGCCCAGGTCGGGACCATTGCGGGGGCCTGACACTGCAGTTGCTTGGGGGGCGGGGTTGGGTGGGGGCCTGTTGGGTTTCCTTGGGGCCCGCCTGGCCCGCTGTCCATGG